GCCCAAGGCTTTTATTTTCCATGTATGTGTTTCAATGGGAGCTCTGTATGCAAGGTGGCCTTGCTTATTGGCTTGGCTATGGATTCTTTCACCCCTGAGTCACTGATTCAGTATAATTCACTACTATCTGGCCTGTTTAGACATAAGTGGTGGGTCTCCCTCTAGGAGGTCTCCATATCCCCAAATCTGCCAGTACAATTGGTGTTAATTAGCACGCTTGCTGCCCTTCTTAGCTAGTCATCTCTCACTCTTGCAAGTGGTCCTTCGGGGTCAGGACTGGGGCCCAGGGCACATGGGAGGTTGCGGTGCCACGCCGTAGTTCGTGAGTACAGAGAGGATTGGGTTAGGGTAAGGGAGGGTTCAGAATGGTACTCCTCAAGAGCACAGCGTTCACTGCCGTGAGGTGTCACACTTCCTGACTTGCTTTGTGCCGAGGGCCCCATTAAGAAATGAGGACAGCAATTCACTGGCGGGGATGTTTCTTGGGCACCGTCTCCCAGTAGATGTGTGACGTCCTTCCTGGTATTTCCAGTTCGTTAAGGAGATACTAAACGGTGATCTCGCTACGGGGGCTCTGCTCCCCGATCATATGCATCGCACGTGTGATCCGTGGAACTGCACCAGGATGGACGCTACCGTCCTGATTACTCCAGCTGCAGAAGCTTGTTTTGCAGCATTAGATATTGTGAAGGTGATGGGGGGTACGTGCACCATACTGCCCTGCCCCTTAGCCCAGTTTTGCAGACTAAGTGAGCTATGGGCACGTAGGTATGTGACTCCAGTTCACCTTTGGCTCAGGGGTGGATGACAGCTGATGCGTGGAGCTGTGGCAAAGGAGAAGGGCTGTGATGATTCAGGCCAGGTCTGTCCAGGAAGTCTGGAACCTCTGACTTCCCAGCTCTGATTTCAGAGTAGCAAAACTGGTTGCATAGCGGTACTAATAATGGGAGCGCCGATTGGGTCACAGTTCTTTCTCTCTGACCTCGCCGTGCTCCTCCTTCCCCTCTGTGGGTGTGGCTTTCAGCCCACTGCCTAGCCCTAGCCCTTACTTACGGCCACAGACTCGAAAAACTCTGCAGAGTTCTGTTTACATTGCAAATGCTGCTATTGTCTGGCCACCTCGTCTGACAGGACTAAAGCACTGTTTTGTGGCGTAGACAGGGCTCGGCCCTGTTTTTAAAATCTTTGGGCTTCTTCCCTGACTCAGATGCGTTTGTAGCATAGACAGGACCTGCCTCTCTAGCTGGAAGAACCCCCCAAAGCTTACCCCACAGAGCCCTCTACAGCCTCTCCTTTAACAGTTCCCTGTAACTCCTGTGGCCTGGCATGCCTTGTAAGTTCAGATAGCAGCACCCTCAGGTACCGCAGGAACAGCTCCTCCCTCCTTCCCCAGGATTATTTCTTACCTCCATACCTCACACTGGCCAGCCCACGGTCGCAGGCGATCAGCGTGCCTGTCAAGGAAAGGAAGTGTGCCTGTTGCATGGCTTCTGGAACTGAGTGCATGATACAGAATGGGAACGAACGGAAAACAGCTGAGGGCAGGCGAAGGCCTCCGAGATCGAAGCTCAGCCCTGTAACGTGACATTGTGCTGCTGCGGAAGTGAGGGGCCTTTCATTTTGTAGTGCACAGCCCTGATCCCCACGGAGCCCTTCTTCATCCCTCTCGCATAGTGTCTCTTGCCAGCTAAAAGCAGGCGCCCCACGGCTCCCTTTGTTTCTAACCTTTCCTTGCGAGCGCTTTGTGCAGCCTGCACCTGGGGCTTATGCGGGGTGCCGGAGCCTAGTCAGACTCCCCTCTCCTGTGTTTATAAAAGGCAGGGAGGCCGCGCAATAGTTAAAAGCTACTTGATTTCCCAAATTGCTTCTTATAAAACGAACAGCACGTCTGCCAGGCTCGTCTCCCCATGATTACGGCTAATTACGATCGAACCAACACCTCCTAGCCCCCGTCATGCCGCTTTAATTGTCCGTTATTCATCTGCAGGCTGTCCGGGGTGGCAAAGCACTTGGCAGCCCAGCGACCGAGGCCTCAGCTAATTGTGAGGCCTCAGGGATTAGGGCAGGTGATTACACACTTCATGGTGTAATTACATAAGCATCGCTTGGCTGCTGCCCCGGCACTGAGCCGAAGGTCACGCGCTGCGTTACCTGAGATTAATTGGAGCTGCCACTGAAGCGCGAGGCGCTGGCGGAGCGGTTATACGATTAGCATTAACATTTCAACAGCGACGGATCGATCTGTGGCTCTCCTCCAGACACAGCGAGCTGTGCAATTAGTTTAGAGGAGAGCGGGGGGTGGGGGGAGAGAAAGGAGAGACAGACAGAAAAGGAGGGGCGGGGAAGGGCAGGAGACAGATAGACAAAAAGAGTGAGGGGAGAAAAGGAAGAGACAGGCGGGGAGGCAAAGACAGATGGGAATGGGTGGAGGCAGGGAGAGGGACGTCTGATTCAGGGAAATATTTCAATCCATCCCGTTTTGGATCTGCGTGCGTGTCCCAGCATTGGTGCTGGCTGATGGAGGGATGGAGCCATTTCAGGGAGATCTAGGGAGAGGAGAAGGAGACACTCCGCCCCCCTTCCCCTGCTGTTGGAACAGGTTTTGGAAATCTGGCGAAGCACAAAAAATGGCCATCGGCTGTAGCTGTATAACCAGAGTGATAACTCATCCCCAGCAGTGCTGGGGCAGGGAAACCCCCCTCAACACACACACACGTATCCCGCCCCTTCGGTTCAAATGCTTTGTGTGGGTGCTTGTGCATTGCACTGTCACACGCGCTCGTCACACTCCCCACCCCCGTCCCCTCCTGAAGTCGTTTTTGCGGGAAGATGTTGTAAAATGAAAATAAACAGCACAGTGCCTGGCTTTGCCTTTCGATGCCCCGGTGAAGGTAATAATGTTCTAAGTGGCCATCAAAGGGAATTAAGAGACGCGCAGCCGGAAACCAGAGATTTGCTTGCAGGCTTCCCAGGCAGATTTGACTAATGGAAGAGACCTTGGCTCCTATTTGCTTCCTGTGGGCTTTACCTGGCCTGCTCTCTGGTTGTGTCTCCTCCCCCTACCTTCCACTTCAGTTACTATTAGCTAGAGTCGGGCTAAGGCCAGTGTGCTGTATTGTCATCCTGCATCACATTGAGGCATGGGACCCCACCCTGGCTCTGCCGAGGCACCTCTCCGCTCACCCGCAGCGCCCCCTACCATGCCAGCCCTCTCTCCGGCTCTGCCAACCCACTTCATCACTCACCTGCAGCACTCTCCTCTAAACCAGAGCTCTGCCAATGCACCTCGCCTCCGACCTGCAGCAGCCCCTTGTCTCCAGAGAAGAGGCTGCCAGTCGTACCGTGCAGGGCAGGGGTTGGATAACCGTTAGGGTCCTCACTGAGACCCCCACCCCCAAAAGTATAAAATATCTTTTCACTTGTAACGTAGTCCAGTTTTAACCGAGGTTTGCTGAGGTGAAAGACGAGTGCTTACACGGTGCTGTCCTGTGCACCCCTTGCCCAGCCAACTCCCAGCGTATGTCGCGGTAGAGCCAAATCTCTTGGAGCGGGAAGCTGGGAAGCAGGTGGGATCTGTTTCATTCCCCTGCGTACAGATTTGTATTGTCTGCTCCTCTTTTATCCCCTTCGTTTTTTTCTTTATCAAGTTTTGCAAATAAGAACGAAATTCAACCAAAAACCTGCCAGCACGGATAGCCTCCAGAGTCTCCATTCGCGCCGCGGGTCAGTTCTGGGAACGAGTGAGATAGCAGCGGGTATGTGGGTAACAAAGGAGCCAATGCCAGGAGCCGCTGTGTCCACCTCCTCCCCACCTTTGACACCTGGATACTGTGAGCTCCCCCACCAAACTTCCGTTCACATCAGGGCCTGTGAGACCCTGAGTGTCTGCGCTTGGCTCCGTATGGGTGCTGGCCCCATGAGCATCAATGACACTCAGCTCAGCGGGGACAGAGGGCTCACGTCCCCTGTGAGATTGGGGCGGATGGTGCTGGTGGCTGCTCAGTGGGAAAGGAATGGGCAACTCCTGGCCTGACCCTCCTCTGCTCTGCTTTGTTTTAATTCATCAAATGTTGTGTTTTCTTCACTCTGTGGCCATCACAAAGCAGCAGCCTCTGTGGGGCCGGAGCAGCTGGCTGGGAAACCCATGGTCAATGGGAATATCGGAAGCTTTTGGAGGAGCAGGGCAGGAGAGGGAATGGCAGAGCCAGCTGTCTGTCAGAGTGCAGCATTTGCACACCCACGTGCTGGTGTGAGCACCCGGGTCCAGCCAGCAGGAGTCTCACGGCGAACTCCTTTGTCTCAAGGCAAGCAGAGTTTTTGAGCCATCTGTGTAGCATCCTGGAGAGCATTCCCTCTTGGTCACTCACACAGCAAGTGTGGGCCTGCTGCTCGGCTGCATCTATCTCTAGGGGGATCTATCTCTGATCGCTCTCTCTCTGCCCTTAACTCGGGCACAGCTCCCGTTGGCTTCAGGGAGAGTTTTGGCTACAGCCCATTCTGTAATGTAATGTCCTTGGGGCTTTTACAAACCAGTAAGACACAGCTTCTGTCCCAAAGACCTTATAGCCCAGCTCAGGCACGTACAAACAAGGGAAAGAGGTGCAATTATTGTGTGTGTGTGTGTGTGTGTGTGTGAGAGAGAGAGAGAGAGACAGACCTAAAGAGAGGGACCACTGTGCATGAGACAGCAGGCGCATTTATGGGGTGGCATGCTGTTGAGCAATGAGGAGTCAGGTTCTAATGGTGGCAGTTTGCTGGCAGACCAGCCTGTATCAGTCTCACTTAGAAAGTGGCTGAGCTAGAGGCTGTCCTTTAACATGCAGGTGTCTTTGTACAGGTGTGCCCCAGCTGTGCTTGAGGAGGGGTGTGTGCGTGTGTGTGTATGTCAGAGAACATACAGCCCAGCATGCAAGCGCGCCCGCTGAGCTAAGCTCACACTTGGATTGCTGCGATCAGCACCGAGCAGTGCTAAATCTCTACATCTCTTCCATTTTCTTTAGGGACATGTCCCACCCACCGCCTCTGCTGTCACCCCAGAATGCCCCCCACATTGCGCTAGGGCCTCACTTGAGACCTCCCTTCCTGGGGGTGCCTTCAGCTTTGTGCCAGACGCCAGGTGAGTGTGCGGGTGACGGTCCACGCGGTGGGTGGGAGGAGAGGGCTGTGTTGTAGCTCGTTGCCACAGCCCTGCCTTGGGAGCATCCCCAGTGGATGCAGTGGTGGGTGCTTTGCCCTCTCCCATGGCTTCCGAATGCACCTCATGTGGCCATTCAGCTGCTCCGGCCCGTATAGAAGGGAGCAGGCGATGCCATCTCCCTGGTCCCTTTGGTGTGTCTAGCCCCACAGCAGTGCTAGCAGAGAGCAAGACCTGCCTCACAGGGGGACGGGACAGGCTCCTTGCACCCCCTGTGCAGTAGGCAGCCGCAGCCTGGTGCAGAGAATGGGGGATATGTGCCTATTGCATTGTGCAGCCTGAATGAGGCGGAACAGCAGAAATGGAATCAGCTACGAAGTCACCCTGTGGGAGCGTTACAGGAAACCTTTTGGCATAGCTAGGGTCTTGTGAGCCGCAGGAAATCACATCTGTGTTGCTCACTGGGATTGCAGCAAGGACAGTTCCCCCATCGTGGAGAGGGATCTCTCAGAGGGAGCAGTTCTGTGGCCCTTCACTGCACAGCTGGCCCCGCAGAGAGTGAGTGCTGTGTAACCCTGCATCTGTCATGCTTTCCCCTGCCCACAGGTTACGGGTTTCTGCAGCCGGCACAAGCAGAGATGTTTGCACGGCAGCAGGAGATGCTGCGGAAACAGAATCTTGCCAGGTATGGAGCGCTGCCCCAGAGGAGCTCCCTGCATCTGAGCCTGCCTGTGCTTCGGGCTAGATTTCCATCCCCTTTTGGCCTTCTTTCTCACCGCAGCCAGAATAGGGTGTGACCTTGGTGCTATATGGGCAGCCCGGGGGAAGGAAGCCCTCCCTCTCCAGGACAACAGCATAGGCAGCAAGAGTGCGAGCTTTCCCCCCGCAGGCAGAGGGCCTAGTTCGGCCCTCACGCCCATCCAGTGCTTGGTGTCTCCGCTGAGACTACCATTGTGCAGGTGGTTTTTCTGATTGGAACCTCTTGGATGCAGCCTGAGACTGCCAGACTCATGACACTCAGGCATCTAAGGAGTGAGAAGGTGAGAGTTTGTGGTGATGCCTGCTGGGTTTGAACCCGTGACGTAGAGGTGAAAGGCTCTGTATCCCATTACCAGCACCTCCCAAGCAGCCAGCCCTGCTCCTAGGAACTTGACAATGAGCCCGGTTCGCAAAGGGGAGGGTGGAATCCGGACTCCCTGCCTTCAATTGTGCAGCAGAAATAGTGCAATGTCAGAGGGAGATGAACTGAAACAATACAAGGGTGTGAAAACCACCGGCACACCAAACTCGGCCTTAGACCCTTGAGCTCCGAAGCTGCAGCTGCTAGTGAATGAGGAGTTGACCTTCAAACCCAACTCATTTTTCTCTCCCTGTTCAGGCTTGAGATGTCGGCCGAGATCATCCGCCAGAAGGAGCTGGAGAATCTCCATCGGCAGAGGCTACTGGCCGGCGACCCGCTGAGCCTGCACCCGGGCTTGCCCCAGGACCACCCGGCCTTGCGGAACATGCACGACATCCCCGAGGGGCACCCTCTGCGGGACGAGCTCTCGCGGAGGAACGCCATGCTCGTGCTCCGGCACAACAACACGCCGCTGCTCTCGCTGAACCACGGGGTGCCCAGCACCACCCCGCCCAAGGAGCAGGGCCGGAGGGGGAGCCGGAAATCAGTGCACCACCGGGCTGAGCCTCCAGGCCTGCACGAGGCCAAGGAGCTTGCCGAGCCCCGGGCGCGGGATGGCGTGCCCGACTGCAACGATGAGGAGATGAAAGACTCGGAGAGCGATGCTGAAGTGAGCGACGAGAAGCCGGAGAGCCTGAAAGCTGAGAGCAGCAGCTCAGCCAGTGAACTCAAAGAGTGCAAAGAGACAGGCAAGGTCTACGAGGGGGCCAAGGAGCTGAGTGAAGTGGCTTCCGGCCAGAATGCCCCCTGCAGCTCCTCAAGCACTGAGTCACCCAGCCACCTGCTTGGCCAAGGCATCAATAAAAATGAGGTGAAATACCTCCCTCCGGCCTCCATCCCACCACCTCAGCCGCTGCCCTTTGGATTCCCTTATACGATGAGCCCCTATTTCCACGCAGGTAGGTGAGAGCCTCATAGCTATGGGGGGAACCGGCATGGGAGGGGGTCTTGGCAGAGTATCGGTTTTACAGGATGTGAAGAATGGGCCTGCTAGTCTATTCACGGTGCATCCGTCTCTGTGGGGTTTGAGCATCTACAGTTAAAACAAAAAAAATTAATGTCAGGGGCCCGGCTTGAAACAATAGAACTCAGAGGTTGTAAAGAGACCACTAATTAACCCAGAGATCGTACCAGGCTGGGGTGAGCTACAAACCCGTGAGAAGGGAAAAGGGCAAATACTAGACCAAGGTAAAAGTGGACCTCGGATGGTGCAGCAGTTAGGAAGAACATAAGAACGGCCAGACTGGGTCAGATCAAAGGTCCATCTAGCCCAGTATCCTGTCTTCCGACAGTGGTCAGTGCCAGGTGCCCCAGAGGGAATGAACAGAGCAGGTAATCATAGAGTGATCCATCCCCTGTTGCCCATTCCCAGCTTCTGGCAAACAGAGGCTAGGGACACCATCCCTGCCCATCCTGGCTAAGAGCCATTGATGGACCTTTCCTCCATGAACGTATCTAGTTCTTTTTTGAACCCTGTTATAGTCTTGGCCTTCACAACCTCCTCTGGCAAGGAGTTCCACAGGCTGACTTTGCATTGTATGAAGAAATACTTCCTTTTGTTTGTTTTAAGCCTGCTGCCTATTCATTTCATTTGGTGACCCCTAGTTCTTGTGTTATGAGGAGTAAATAACACTTCCTTAATTACTTTCTCCACACCAGTCATGATTTTATAGACCTCTATCATATCCCCCCTTAGTCGTCTCTTTTCCAAGCTGAAAAGTCCTAGTCTTATTAATCTCTCCTCATACGGAAGTGGTTCCATACCCCTAATCGTTTTTGTTTCCCTTTTCTGAACCTTTTCCAATTCCAGTGTAGCTGAGATTCAAAGTGGGAGACCATAAATGTGACTGAAGGAGAATTCTTGCCCCCTTGGGTATGTAAGTGTGCATGGTTGGAAGCTGTGGGCTGAGCAGTTGATGCTGAGGCGTTTGACTGGGTATTGGCAAAGCTAATGATACGGTGATAGAAAAATGCCATGCTGTTGGGCTGTATGGAGAAGCATGACGTCCTCACAGAGTAGAGGGGATAGTCTACGCGGAGTTGGCTGGACCTTATTTGGAAGCCTCGGTTCAAGGCAGACATTGATAAATTGGAGAGGGCTTCAGGGCAGGGCAGCAAAGATGATTAAGGGCTTGGAGGGATTGACCTGCGAGGGAAAAGGCTAGAAGAATTAAATATGTATAGCTGGGCTAAAAGATAACCAGGCTTGTGGAGAGGTGGGATCCAGGAGCCACCTCTCAGTATTTGAAGGAGGTGCAAGGATTGTCTGGGGTACTGTAGGAGACATGCCCAAATGTAACAGGACAGAGATGAGCAAGGGAAAGCTTTTTAGGGTGAACAGGTGAAAAATAGACCCATGGGACAATCTCCCAAAGCCCATCGCTCGAGGTACAGTTCAACATACTGCTCAGGAATGTACTGGAGGAAGCAGTCCTCTCTGGCAGCTGGTTTGGGGCAGCCTGGAGTATCTGCTAGGTCTTCGTCGTCTCTACATTCCCTGTATTTCCATAGTTTGATGAGAGGGAAATATAGAATTAAGGCTGCAGCTCCCTCCGTCCCATTGTGCCTGGGGCATCTCCGAATGCCAGGCAGCATTACCTCTTGCATATGGATCCATACCTTTTGGACAGAGATTCAGGAGCTCCCCAAAACAGTGATTCCACCTCCTTGGCCAGCCTCTTGCCCTCGAAAGTCATATGTTGTCACCTGATTGTGTTCCCATGGCAACCACCTGTATACCTCAGAGATATCTCTGATGTGTTGTTAACTTTAAGCTTCAGCGAGGAAACTCAACAGAGCTGGGGCTGTGGATTTACCCCAGCTCTCTGCAGATAGGCAGGAGCATGTCAGGACAAAGCGGAATGGTATGCATGTAGAGATGGGTGTATTGATACTTAGGTCATCATCCCACCAAGAGGCATCAGAGTGGGTGACTCTCCTCCCCACCCCCACCCCAGCTATACGTCCTCCATCAGGAACATCAGCTTTGTCCACAGCAAGAAACCGCAGCTCCTCTGTGGTTATCATGTGCCCGGCTGACCCCTGTTCCGGCAGAGAGGGGGATGGGTTTGGTGAACCCTTGCCCCCGCGACCTTCCGATGCCTTTCCAAAGGAGAGGGGCCGGTTGTTTGGAATCCAACCGGTCTCCCCCCTTGCAAGGTTTAATGGGGTCATGCACGTGTGATAGAGCTGGTCACTGAGGTGACTGCCAGCCCGCGGGAAAGCACGTTCTCTCTGTCCCGTGTACGGCTCTTAAAATGGGCTCTGCATCCTGCAGCATGTGGAGGGAGGGGCCCACCACCGACTCACTGATGCAACATGCAGACCCATGAGTAAAGGACGTCCCAGTGCAAGGTGGGACTTGAACTGCTAGCTCAACCCAGAACCAAAGAGATGCATAGTCTAATGCCTTAGTTGAGCACTTAAGAGCTAGATGCTGCATCCTGTGAGAGTCGGGGGGGGGAGGCCTCCTTCTTTATAAATGAAAGAACTGGGCAGGATGAGTGCGGCTGCCCTTCACATGTGGGCCATTCGGGAACACCATCCAGCCAGAAGAAGGAAGCAATTTCTCTGACAGGCAGGTGGCCAGGATAACTATCCCTACTGCTTCCAACAGATGAGGCTTCCTCGTGGGAGCCTTCCCCTCGCAGTCATTTAAAGGGGGATACATGGTTCTGTGCTCTGGCCACCCCATGCGCAACCCCACAGAGCAGGGTGTGGATTGCAGTCGGGAGTCCACTCCCATCAAACTATCAGAAACTAGAATGTGCCCTGTATTATTACTACTTATGATCAGGGCCCCGTTTAAAGTGACCCATCCTCTTTCTCAGGCTCCTCCGGTTTCGGGGACCATTGCTGTGTTGGATTGCAAGAGGGTTCCCTTGCTTTCAGCTAGCACCCCATGTATTATTATGAAAGTTGTGAATGGTGTTGCATCAGCGGCCCCAGCTGAGATCAGGACCATGTTGTGCTAGGCACTGATCAGACACATAGGGCACGTCTCTACGGAGAGTTAGCGCACGACAGGCTGGGGAGTAAATCTACAACCCTCTACTCTGCCACTTTCTACCTGGCCGTATGGACCCTGTACTACCATTTCCGTAGTGCAGAAACAGCAGTAGATCAGCGTGCACTATGGAAGTTTTAGTGCACGGTAGCAGGGGCCACGTAGTGACTGTGTGCATGGCAAGTGCGGCGCTGTAGATTTACACCCTAGCTTGCCGCACAGTAAGTGGCCATATAGACGAGCCCATAGGAAGAGTCTATCCACATAGACAAGACAGGTCAAGGGTGGGGGGGGGGCAAACTGAGGCCCAAGGCCACGCTGCAGGTCAGCAGGGGAGTTGGGAATAGAACTTATGTCTCCAGAGCCCCTGGGCAGTGTCCTGGACCGTGCTATCTCTCACACGTCTTTATGCTACAGGTGTTTTGGGGCGCTTTGATTAACCCGGGTCCAAGTAGCGTGACCACAGATTGCCCAACAAATGGCCAGACTTGGCCCCAGGAGGAGTTTGTGCCTGAGGACAGAAAAACAGACATTCTCTTCACTCTTTCCTGTCCATGGACTGCTCTTGTAGCTCACAGGGGCCGGAGGATATGCTGGACGCTGTGGTGAGGAGATACAGACCCTGTCCCAAGGAGCTGACAATCTAAAGAGGCCAGTAGCATGACAGACCCCAGAGGATGGGGGAGAAGGGAAAAGAGATGGCTGGAGTCTCAAACAGAACAGGGAGGGCTCCTCTCTTGCTTTGGAGGCAGAGAACTGGTTTCTGTCCCCGATGACAAAAATATTGACGAGGCAGCCGGAGTTTGGTCGATTCCCTGAGCCGCCTCCTGGGAATCTGGCAGCTGCCGGATGACCTCATCTCTTCAAGGTTTCAGCGGAGTTGTGTTCTCGCGCCCCCCTTCCCCTCCCTTTCTACTGGAAAAGGTGAAGGATGGAGTGTGCGGGAGGCTAAAATCCTTTTATTGATCCGCAGTCTGGAGAGCAATTAATGTGAGCCTTCCAGTGCTGCTTCATGACCCGAGCCCGCAGTGGTGGGTGTGTGTGGCGGGGGTGGGGGGCGGAATGGGAGAGTGATAACAAGACTGATTAAACCCATCTGTGTGTTGGCTTCTGGGCCTGTTCTGAGCTGGGGAGGGGGAGGGACGGGCGAGCTTTGCTGCTGATGCTCTTGGCCTGATCAGACGCCTGTGCAGAAAACAGGGTCTGGCTGTCGGGACTGAGGCTCTGTTGGCAGTGAGGAGAGGCTAGATCCTGCGCTAGCTGACAGGCCTGCTGTCTGGGCTTACACATGTCCTAGTGCTAATGCCCAGCTCATGCCCAGTGACACCAATATCCGTGTTTGTTCCCCTCCTCTCAGGCTGCAGTGCTGGGGACTGAGAGCCTGTATTGTCTCCAGAATAGGTACGGCACGGGCAACTCCACTGCAGTCCCCCCTCCACTGCCCTGTCAGCCTGTGTGCCTCAGCTCTGCCCTGTGGAGACTCCTGTTTCTGGAAGGGATGGGTAGTTCAGTCTCCAGGACCCTGGGTCTTTCTACCACAGCTGCCCAAAAAGTTGTGGGGTGGGGGGAGGATTATTTAATACCAGCTGGCAGGGGGGTGTTTTTCTGTGGGTACCTGTCCACAAAACCCTGGCAGGGGATGATGGTTTTCACCCTCCTCCAAGCTATGGTCCCATCTGGTGAAATGCTCTGTAATCCGTTATCAGTCCCTTGGCTCATTATTCGTCACTCAGTGAGAGAAGAGGAGCCTGGCTGGGGACAGATGCTGCTGTGTCCCCACTGTCTAGCAATATCCAGCAATGTGCCGTGACCATCAGAGGGAGCTTCCCTTATAGACCTTTGGAATCGATTCCTTATCATCCTTCTATTAACGGCCCCAAAGGTGGGTTTGTACGGTCATGTCCTGAGATCTAGCGGGCTGTGCAATAGCCTCTCTAGGGAAGCAAATGGGGGGGAAGCGGGTAGGGGCTGTCTTGGGACATTTACAGTTAGGCTGATCACTGAGTTAGTTGAAATCCACGAAGCTCTGGGTGTTTGCCACCTCCACAGAGCAGGTTCTCTGGGGGAAGTTGGGGCCCGGTTGCAATCAGCAGGAGTTTTAATACTGGCTTCAGTGGGGCCAAGATTTCAGCATCTCTCTCTTAACTTCTGTGCTATAGAAATGCTAATAGGTCGGAGCCCAGTGTGCTGGTATTTCCCCTATTTTTCAAGAACGCTTCCACCCATCAGCGGGAGTGTTTTCCTGGTATAGATGGGGAGGGGAGGCAGACCTTTGGAGATCAGTGCTTTGGCGATACTAGCTTTCTCTGTGTGTGGAAAATATTACTTGTTGCCCTAGGGCAGGGCTGCTCTTGCCCTGAGTCCTGGAGACAGCAGGCTGACTGCGTGCATGGCTGTGGGCATGGAGGGATAAAAAAATGGATGGGGAGAGGGCTGCCTGGCAGGACTGACCTTGGGCTCAGCTCCGTTAGTGATATCAGCAAGGCCACAAATAGAGCCGACGGGCTCAGTACATCTCTCCAATTCTACCCCAGGAATTGTAGGATCACTGGCAGGTGCTGGCAGGAGGGGGAGAGGGGGAGGGATTTCCCCAAGAGTTACAGCAAGACTTACTAGCCCTGTCCCCTGACATCAGCCCTTCCACTTGCGAACAGAGCTGAATGTGACCTTATCTCCATAATCTCTGGTAGGGCTCTGGAGATGGCCTGTGGCAGGCAGGTACTGCCCAGCCTCCCTGTGGAGTCTCGGGCAGCGCCTGAGGCCAGGCCTGGCTGACTGACTGGAGAAGGCTGTAGTCCTTGGCTTGCCTTTGGAAGAAGGAAGTACCTAATTTTAAAGCCGTTGGCTGTTGCAGTCAGATTCCCTCGGAGACGCTTGCTCCGGCTGCAGATGGAGGCGTCTTGCCCATGTGTCGGCTGTGCCTGGAATAATTGAGTTCAGTGTCACTTCCTCTACTTACCGAGCTGCAGCCGCTTTCCCAAAAAAGGAGGGGAAAAATCAGCCATCCCAGTGTCTCGCTAGCTTCACTGTAAACAGCTGGGAGTTTGGGTTCCAGAGCAGGGGACAAACCACAAATGAAAATGATAATGTAACTAAAGGAAACTCGTCTGTCTGTCCACCCGTCTTATAGTTGGGAGGGAAGGGAGAATGCTGCTCCTCCAGCGATGTCCCAAACCCCTTTGGGTCCTTTCCCCCCTCCAGTCTCCCTGCAGCATGGGAAAGCTAGTCATTTCCACAGACGCCTTTGTAAAGGGGGATGAAAGTTCAGTGAAGCCCAGGCTCTTGCTGACTGGGAGGAGAAGGGGGTAAAGTGGATCAGAGATCTACGTCCGGAGCATGTGGCGGAGAGTCAAGGTTCTATCTCTGGCTTTTTCACATCGCTGGAGGGACCCACTGGGCTTTTGAAGGCCTCAGGATGGCATGTCATGGTGCCACTGGACCCTCTGCAGAGTGTAGCTGGCAGAGAGCCCCGCTCTGTAGGACAGGGCATGTAATACTTGCCTTTGCTGTGAAAGGGAGATTGCAGTGGGGGACAGGGGCTGAGGATAGGAGCCAGGGTTTAGATTCTGATCTCCACTCAAGAGTCAGGGAGAAGCTGAGGATCCGTGACCTGGGCTGTAAGGTATCTGGGGCAGGGACTGTCTTTTTGCTCCGTTTTTGTACAGCCCCTAGTACAATGGGGTCCTGGCCCATGTCTGGGGCCCCTAGGTGCTACAATCATACAAATAACAATAAAATGGCCCATAAGGAGCAAAGCTCTGTGGATTCCAGTCCTCCATGTGGCTGGAGGACAGGACAGGGGATACTCAACCCCTTCTCATCCCCCCACTCCACACCTCTTCAAAGGGGTCAGGAGGGAGACAGACAATTCCAGCCCCTTTTTCAAGTGGACGGATGTGGCTGAGGACGATGCCCAGCACCAAATGGTCCAGAGGATGCTCTGAAACCTCCACAACAGATCACCTGCATATCACGTCACTTCCAGTTATTGGTTGGCTCATGCCCTGAAGCATGAGAGTTGATATGAGAGTTTTACCCTCTCCAGTGTGACTGTTGATGTTCTGATTCCTGTAAATATCCAGTCCTTTTGAGCATCCTCCTGAGCTCTTGGCCTCAGTGGTTGCATAGGCGGTGAGTTCCACAGGTGAATAAAGTGTTTTCCAAACGAGTATTTTCTGTTATCAGTGGTAAATACGTGGGCGGTCCCCTTGCTCCTCTGTTGTGATCTAGGTGAAGCTGGAGTTGCCTGGCTGGTTTTTCTCTCCATGGTTTCTCATTCTCCAGACCTCTGCCCTGTTCCACTCTGGGCTCTAGTCCAGCTCTCTCCTTCCATGTTCATCCCATGCTGTCAGGCACTGGGAAGCAGGGAAAGTTCTGCTCTCCTCTTCTGGGATTGGAGCGCTCTCTCTGTCACCTTCCGGCCCTGCTGACAGAGCTGGGACTTGAACTGCTCTTGCGTTTCGGAGGATTGACTTGCCTGCGTGAACTGCACCATGCTCGTCTCAGAGCTCCAGTGAGGTTCTTTGGGGTCACCTCCCCATCCAGCTAGACTCTGCCCCAGCAGAGAGAAGGGGCGATATGCATTTAAACCATGGCGACGGGTGTTAGGCAGCCGGCTGTTTTGGGCTCAGGGGATTTAAAACAAAGGTTTGTTCGTAAGGGGTGAAAATTCTCTCCTCGACAGCAGCTCCAGCCAAGCAGCAGGCTGCCGGGGCCGGGTGTGGGGGCTTGTTATCATTTGGAGCACGTAGCGGGGAGAAGGGCTGGGGGAGAGAAACTCCCAGGGCAGCCGGAGTTTTTCCATTTTGTGGTGCGTGTGGAGAAATACACCTTCGGGGGGCATCTCTCCCCTGCCCCCTACCCCCCTTTGCTGCAGCTGAAGAACATTAAACACATGAAAAACATTAGAGGGGATTTTCCCCTCCCTCCTGCCCCCCCCCAACACCTTTTCCGAGCGAGGGACCTCCAGGAGACAGAGGCCCATGAATTGACCCTGCCCAGCATTTTAATTGACAGGCCATTAAAAATGGATGTGCGGCTAGAGAGAACTATTCAGATCGCAGGCCTGTTGCTGTCCGTGTGGGATTTTAATGATTTATGTTTCCTTCTCCTCCCCCTCCCCCCGCCCCCCAAACAATCCAGGCGCCATGGGAGGTCTGTTCTTGGATGGGGAGGAGAGCCCTGCGCTGGAAGACATCAGCAAATGGACAGTGGAGGATGTCTGTAACTTTGTGGGCAGTTTGTCTGGCTGTGCCGAGTACACTCAGGTAAATTCACAGCAGCTTGGGAAACATTTGGCGGGGGTGGGAGGGGAAGGGGGAGGGAGAGAACTCGCTCCAGCTCTCCCCCCCTCCCCCAACCCCTGCAATCAATCAGAGCAAATGTGGTGGAATATTTAAGAGAGCCCTGCAGGGCTGTCAACTGTCTGGCTTTCCTGTTTTCCTACCGGATTGGGGCTTAACCGCCCTGCTGCCAGTAGATGCCCCCGGGGCATGGAGGGGTGTGTATGTGGCTCGCAGTCAGGAAGGTGGGAGAGGGGGAGGTAGAGGGTGGCTGCTGCTGGGTGGATTACAGCTAGCAACTCCCCGCCTTGGGAGAGAGTGTGTGGAAGTCGGTAGTGTCCCACAACCAACCCGAACACAATGCTGGCTTTGTGCCGGGCTGGCCTGGGGCGTGTTATAACGAGGGACTGGGTACTGGGTTTGAGTGCCGTTCAGAAGGGCCTTTTCTCAGGGAGCGCCAGGAGCTGGAAGCCTGTGGCATCTTCACCAGAAGGCAGCACCGGGTTGGCCTGATTGTTTCTCTCTGGTGCCTAACAATAGCTCCGCCTCCCTTGAGCACTGTGCCAGCCGGGTGCCGAGGTAAAAAGCCACTTGCCACCAGTGGTACAGCTGGGCCAGACTTTGGCCTCCAGAGAGTGCAGTTCAGATTCCACTGAGGTCAGACGGTCTCATCTTAAAGCTCGGCAGCACTGAGCGATCTCCGCTCCAGCGAGGGCTCACCGGCCGCGGGTGGTGGGGAGCGCTCCAGGGGCAGAGCTCTGGGAGAAGGGGAGGAAGCTGTGAGAGACCCCTCCCTCACCCACTAAATTAATTGCCACACAGAGTCGTTTTGTTTGTTTGTTTTTTAAAGCCTTTTGCAGTGGGAGCAATGCATCCATCGGTGCTGCAGGGTTCATAAAGCCGCTCAGTGTGAGGCTGCTAGGTGGGACACGAAAAACAACCCTGCTTTTTGGCTCCCACGGCTGTTGAAGTCCATTATAAATACCCCATTGAGCGCATGCACGAACAGCAAATGCAGATTCCTGAGCTGTCTGGGACAGCTCTTTAAAGAGGGCACAGTGTGCTCAGGAGAGAGAGAGTGACAGAGATGGGGGCTGGGGATGAGAGCTAAGAGAGGTTTAGCTCAGGAGACTCCAGCTCCTCTTGGAACAGATGCACTCAGACAGGGAACACCGGGGAGATCCAGGCACTAAAATGCAGCTCCTAAGGGGAAGAGGGAGAGAGGACATCAAGGGAATCGAGCTTAACAAAGACCGCTCCCTTGACGCACAGAAAGTGAGAGAGGGCAAGCCTGGGGAATCCAGTTGACTGGAGCCCGTGGGGAAGCCACCGCTTGGAAACGATCCGCTTTGTCCACTTGCTTCTGAGCTGCCTGAAAACTGATTTTCAAAAGCTCCCTCCCTTCCCCCCCCTAGCTCCCGGAGCATCCGGCATCCCTGCCTCTCCCTGAGCCATTCTGGCCAACAACCACACAGCTGAGCTGCTGCTCAGAGTGTAATAACGGCCCAGCAAGTGACCTTTCCTGCAACGGCTTGATCCCCAGCCAGTGTGAGAAAGCCAAGGCCCGGCATTGGCGTTGCTCTGGGGAGCAGGCCTTGGGAGAGCAGCTCAGGCGGCTGGTGTGGGTTTCGGGCTCTTTCGTTCTCCGCGGGTTGCACAGAGAAAAGATCTCCTTAAAGATGGTCCCCTAGGGGAGGGGGAATCTGGGAGTCGGGCTTTGCCGTTCATTATGGTGGCCGGGAAGCAACGCCTCCCTTCCCGCTCTCTGGGGTGGCTGGCCGCGGTGCGTTCACTGCAGAGTCTGTCCTCCTGTGCCCCCGAACCGTGGTGTTAATCTCATTCTGACAAGCTTCATTAAAACCACCTGTGAGCCTGGTGCTTCCTCAGAGCCAGCAGCTGTGCCTGCGAGAGGGCGGGGGCTAGGACCAAGAGTGGGGCTTGAGAGAGCAGGGGAATATTGGGGGTGACGGAGAAAAGGAAGCAGTGGCCGGAGGGTGTGTGAGAGAGACAGGTTTTCATGTCTGGCATGGGGGAGGGAAGGGCCGGGGGTGTTGGTGTAGAAAGCAGGCAAGGGATGCCTGGGGGGAGAGGAGAAGTCAGAGGGCAGGATCGGGAGAATGTGTGTATTAGTGAGGCGGGGAAGGGGGTAGGTTTCGGGGTGGGGGAGTGTGTTAAACCAGCCCAGATCTGGGGTAACTCACTGGTGGGAGTGGAATTCCTCTGGATTTACACCTCCATAACAGAGCAGAGGGTGACCCCACCGCTGCAAGTGTTGAGGCAGGTAGGAAAAGTGGAGAAATCCTGAACACATGCACCTTGCCAAAGACTCGGCCATTTACACCTCCCAGGGCTCCCTGCGCGCCTCGGGACAGAAAATCCATAGGTGACTGATGGCCTGGCTCAGCAGCACTCTCGGCGCTGAGCAAACCTGAGCCCTGTCAAATAATGGGGCTCACGGTAAACAACCCCAGCATCCCCTCGCAGCGTCCTGGCTGGCACACAGGGAGTTAAACAGCTGAGGCTTTTGTCGTTCATCATGGTTGTGTGCTTAATAGGTTTTTACTGTGTGAAAAATCCAGCGTGCAGGGGTGCTGCAGAGCTGTCTGCGTTCTCTCCTCCCAAACCACAACTGCTGGGGAGGTCTGGCACTGGCCCGCACTGTGCTCCCACCAGGAAGCCCAGCAAGAGCTTGGCAGTGACGCTGTGCATTCGGGAACGTGTTTCAGAGACACCAAAAAGTAACATAATTGAAAACAAAGTCGTCCTTCCCAGTCCCGATCTCCATCAGCGTCCATCTTTGTGTCCCCCACCTGGTGAAGTTAGGCCTCCCAGTATGCTAGGGTTAGGTCTTTGGGGGGCAGAGAGCTGAGCAAGGGAGCCTTTTGGCTCCTGGCCATGTTGGCTCTGTAGGAGGGAAAGAAATCGGTCTATCATGTTTCGCTCGGTCAAAGAGCAGAAACACACACTGCAGCCATCAAGAGCAGCTTTGCAACAGCTCAGCTGCCTCAGCCCCCACTGCTCTCCAAGGGGCTGGTTCTGCGATGCAAGACACAGCTGAAAAGGAACCCACTCGAGCAAACTGGAAGCCCCCCTCCCTTGGCTGTGCTGCCCTAACAATGCTCTGCGAAGCAGCTCCGCAACCAGCAGGAGCCGATTCAACTATTAGCCAGCGCCGCAGCCCACAGAAAGTTCGCCCCGGCGCGAGGCCAGCACTCGCCCTGGCAAGTGGAAAAACCTGGCTGGAGTGAAGGGGTGGTTCAGTGAGGAGGAGAAAATCTGCATGTGCCCTGTGGAACCCAGGGTCTGCCACTGAGTGGAAATGGCTCGGTAGCAAATGAGAACAATGACTGAGTGGTGTTTTACACTCCCGCATTGGAGCGGCAAGCACTGAGCCAGCATTAATGGGACAAAGATGCTGGCAGGGAGATGGGTACAATTACATCCCCACTTTAGAGATGGCAAACAGAAGCACTGGGGAGGGGGGTGTCTTGTCTGAGGCAGGGCTGGGGATAGAACCCAGGCATCCTGACTCCCTGAGCTGGGCTTTTACCACAAGGCCTGTTAGAGGACAAGCTGCTGCTTGAGCCCATCCGTCAGTGTGGTGGGGGCAGAGCAAACTCTTCAGAGTTCTTTTTTTTCCATTCCGTTTTTTCCCCTTTCCTTGGGAATGGTGTCTGGATCAAAGGGTGTTTAGGGATTTGTGTACGTGTATAACAGAGGTGTGTGTGTGTGTATTTGTGTGCATGTATAATAGAGGGGTGCGTGTGTGATATAGATTACATATAAATCTATACGATAAAATTCCAGGATTGTCACTCTGAAGCCTAGAATGTCTGTTGAGTCAGCGTGGAGCAATGGAAAAGCTACAAACATGGCCGAGCGCTCGTTTTGTTTAGAATGTCACCCCCTCACTGGGATTCACAGCCTGATACCATCCAGTTTTTAAGTTCTCAGCTGTTTTGGGCTTTTTTACACACACGATTTTCTGAATTACACCTGGGCAACAGCACAGGCTTCAGCTCCTAGTCACTGTAACTAGATAAGTTTCAGGAGGATAGGTCCATCAATGGCTATTAGCCAGGATGGGCAGGGATGGTGGTCCTAGCCTCTGTTTGCAGGAGCTGGGACTGGGCGACAGGGGATGGATCACTTGATGATGACCTGTTCAGTTCATTCTCTCTGGAGCACCTGGCACTGGCCACTGTCGGAAGACAGGATCCTGGGCCGTTCTTCTGTTCTGACTGTCTGTGTTGTAATGTCACTTCGGGTATTCTAATGGGGGTGGTGGGTGTCTGAGAAACCCACTGCCCCACATGGGAGTCACTCGTTAGCTCTCCGTTCAAAGGGGCGGGTCATTTTGCATCGTTACTGCTGCCCGTCTAAGCTGGGAGGTAGTGCTCATTTGCTTAGCACAAAACCCTGCCCTGCTCAGTGCAGCACCGAGGGGGTGCATAGATTTTTTATCTAATTAATTTAAAGTGGATGTTAGCACAGATAAAAAGGCAGGACAGAGTGTGAGTGTCGTAGCTGAGGAATGGTTTGTATGCGGCACACACTGTCCAGCCATCTGTCTGTCGGGCATGTGAACAGTGTTTAGGGCCTTGGTTTTGTTTAAATCAACTCTGAACACGTTATTTCCTGGCAGTGGATGTTTCTGAGAAGAACGTCTTTGACCGGGAAATCAAATGTATAAGGGTACTTTGGAGGATGACCTGAGCCTTTTTAGATTATTCGGAAGCCCTCTTTTGTGTGGCAATGCAGTGGTGGGAGGGGATTCAGTCGTTATGTGCAGGGGTCCTACAGGACCAGGAGAGACCTTTGCAAAGCATCGTCAGGGCAATGTGTGGGATCTGGAAAAGCAACCACATTCTGGTATATGCCACCACTCTGGATGTGGCCGGAGACCCTATGAACATGCTTCATACCAGGCCAGCAACAGCTGGGAGTAACTTTGCGTTGCTGCGACCCTGGGCTGGATTTGAACTGAGGTCGCAGGGCCAGTGTACGTTAAGGCGGTTTATACCGGTGTAGTTACAGCAGCATAGCTAAAGACAGGGCGTGCCCCATTCCAGGCCTTGAGCAGGACTTTCCTTGCAACTGCTCCTCGTGGCTGCCAGGAGCTGCTGCGGCAGCAGACCGTGGAAAACTCTGCACCGTCAGCAGAGGCTTTGCCGGGCAGCGCACGTACATGGGAAGCAGCGGTTGGGTGGTGAAGTTCCCCAGCTTTGGGGAATGCTCTCGGAGCCCTGTAGTCTCTTTGGGGCAGGGGCTTTCTCTTTGTTGTGGGTTTGTACAGCACCGAGCACACGGGGGTCCTGGCCCAAGACTAGTGCTCTGAGGAGCTACCGCACAACAAATACCTCAGGCTAATAAATTGGTTACTCAGCTTCCCTTTTGCGGCCCCCTGTGCTGCCCGCTCGAGGCATGTGATGTGCCCTGTGCTGGCATTTGTAAGCATGGTGGTGTGCTTTGGTTGTCTGCAGGTATTCAGGGAACAGGCTATCGATGGTGAGACGCTGCCTCTCCTGACCGAAGAGCATTTACTGAACAACATGGGGCTCAAACTGGGACCAGCTCTGAAGATCAGGTCACAGGTAAGAACACCACTGCAGCCGTGGTGGCTGGTGTGGTCGAAACAGGGGCAAGTCAAAGCTGCATCTCCTGCTCCTCCTCCTCCTCCCCCCCCAGCTCTCTTACAATATGGGTGAAGGCCAAAACGCCAGGGAGCTCAGTCTAGTGGTTGATCTGCAGCACCAGGAGCTGGGTTCACAGCTCTGCACGCTGATCGTCAGTGATTCAGGCAAAGAAAGGTGAACCCCCCCCCCTTCCTTATAACCCGCCCCCTCCGTGCTGTGTGAGAGCAGGCTTAATTCACTAGCATGTGAGAGCTTTGAGGGAAGGCACTATAGAAGTGTCACCAGCAGGCTTGTTTGTCAACACAGCTGTATTTAGCATGCACGCACCAGGGTCACTCCCAGATGCAATGTAGACACACACACCCTTGGAGGCCAGGAGGGCTGAATCAGGCCTCTGCTTGATTAAAGAAGGTGGGGCCAAGCCTACTGTGCCCCCACTGGAGGCGGTGATCGCTCAGTCTCAGTCCCCCTCGGCCATGGTTTGGCGGACAGGCTTTAACCCACCCTGCTCTGAATGCCAATGGCAGACTCAGAGGGAGAGGCCAGATTGATGATAATTAACCAGCACTTTCCTGGGATTTAGAGCCATTTGTTCCTGTTCGGGTCAGTGTGTGTGAACTGTCCAACAAAATTCATCTAATAAACACAAATTCTACAGGGTCTAATATAAAAACACCAGGGGGAATTTTTTTTTTTTTTTTTTTTGAAGGGAAGTCAAATGTAGTTTATGAAGGCACCTGCAGTTCTAAGTCGAGGGTAACGTTAAAAGGGAAAAACATTTCTAACCGGTATTTGTAAAAACAAAATGCACATGGACACATCCATTTGCACACACGTAGGTGTATTGTTGGAAATAAAACGTTACGGGCATGGGTGTTTAATATAAATTCCAGTACCAGAATGGTTTATATCTAATATAAATTCCATAAAATGTATGTACAGTAATGTATGTAGACATTCATTACTGTCTTACATGCACGTGATGTACACAAGGGTATACAGACATGTTACATACGTATGTGTGTTAATTTATGTAAATAACCATGCTATAGTGACATACACACACACACATAGGTTTAGTTTCCCTTACCCACAAGCTAGACATTTGTTATATTATGTTAAAACAATCAGGGTAACTTTATTACTTTCCCTGCAGCCCTTACTGTTTATGAGGGGTCTAATAAAAAGGTTCTGTGGGCAATTGTTCCCTGTGGATCAATTTGCTCGGAAATAAAACTCTTACATTTCTTAAAAACAGAGCACTCCAACTCGCTCACAGTCGGACTTGGTTTAGATTTTTGGGGGAGGGATGAGATCCAGTTTTAAGCCCTGCCTCTATAATGGGGGGGGGGGCGGGGCAAAGCCTCCCCAACAGAAACCCCAGCCTGTGTTTCTATTTAAGCTTAAATGCAAAACAGCTCTGTAGGCACAGAAACAGGGTGCGCACTTTGGCCCCGGTTGGGAGGTGAGAACTACTGCAGGGGAAGTTTCTGTGCCCTTGGGGCTGTGCAGCCTTCTATGCATTTGACAACAGCTCCCTCGCCCCCCCCACCCCGCAATGGAAAACTAGGCATCCAGGAGCTCAGCACCTTCCCAAGCCACAGCACACGCCAGGACGCTCCTTTGCCTTGGTGCAGCTCCCAGGCTGTTTTCAAGTTGGGCTGCCGGCAGGAGAGAGACTCGTTGAGCTAATGTAGTTTAGTATTTTCCACAGCAAACAGGACTGCGAGGGAGAGGAAATGATAGCAGGTATCTCCACACATCCCTGCTGCGGTCTGCAATGTCCTGCTTGCCTTGCATGCCCCTGGTCGTCCCGTCCCCGTCCCCACCCCCGCCCCCCCCCCACCCCAAAAGCAGCAAACTGCTCCCCTGGGTGGAGTGTAACAAGCAGATGGTGCGACTTCCCAGGAAAGGGAGGGAAGGGTCCCAGCTCCCTGATTTGGATTTAGCTTCAGCTTCAGGGCACGGGCAACTACTGCCAAGGGGCTGTATGCACCAGACCTTGGTTCATACACACTGGTTCTTTAGCACAGTCCACTCTCCCCATATAGCTGCAGGGATGGGGGGAGAGTAAAAGGCAGGGTGCTCCTCTCTTTTCCCTACCCCATGCCTCTTGCTATAGCCCACATGCTCAGCAGGTAGCCAGGAGCCACTCTTCTTTCTGGGGCAGTATGGAACTACTGCCCGACAGGCTAGGAGCGAGAGACAAGGGCTTGAACGTGTGCGCTCTGTAAAGAGGAGCGAGATGTAATTACCCAGGCTGGACTTCAGGCAATGCACGGCCATTAATGCTCTTGCACCTTGGCCTCTTCACGGGGTGAGGAATCATGGGCTCAGCGTCTGCTTCCATGTTCCTGCAGTGGCAGACTGGGGGCGTGAGTTATGCAGAGCAAGGTGGGGGCTGAGTTTGAGATGCTGAACTCCCACAGGTTTGACAGACTAGTCTTGTTTCAGAGCAATGATGTGTGTGAGTGACTGTGTTACCACTATCATGGCTGTGTCTGTTTGGAGTCACAAACGCTTCTGTGTGGGTCAGTGCAACAGCCCCAAAAGCGCTCAAACCAGGGTTAGAGGCAAGGGACTTGCCAGGGAAAAGGAGCTGTTGGGGCCAAGGAGGAGATGAGCCAACAGCCACGGCTACACAACACCTGAAATTTAGCAAAAAACAATATACGCACACCCTGGTCCCTTGGGTAAGTTTGGCCACCCTCTACTAGCAGGGAAAGGTGAGCTGGGTTTAAAGTGGGGCACAGAGGATGGTCTTCTCCCCATGGCTAATGTTCCATGGGCCTGCTCTGGTTTTGTTTTCTGGCACAGTCCCTACGCCTGTATGATCAATCCCTCCTTTTCACCATGCTCATGCAGCATCTTGGCCAGAGCACGCTACTGCCCTGCCATGCTTTGTTTCTATGGCCCAGGAACAGCATATGGTGCTTCCTACCTCCACTGCCTGATAAGCCTTTCTCCTGCTTGTTTTAGGTGGCCAAGAGAGTTGGCAGGGTTCTCTATATGGCAAGCTTCCCCATGGCATTCCCCCTGCAGCCCCCTGGCTTACGGCCTCCAGACCGAGACCTGGCGCCCACTGAGCTCCGCCCATCCTCTACGGGCAGCGTATCCTCCCCGTACAGCAGCAGCCTGCTCCCTGCTAGCCGCATCTCACCAAAGCAGGAAAATGGAAACCCCCCATTAATGGCTGGAATCAACGACACCACGAAACCGCCATCGTAACTGCACAGCCGCTCGACTCCCTCCAGTCCTAAGACACAGTGTGATGAACTCAACATAACGAGTGCGAGAGACGAGGGGACCCTCTCCCCCAGCCCGAGGGTCAAGGAAAGAGGGAAAGGGGGTTGTGTGTGTGCGCATTCACTTTTGTTTTGTTTTAAAAAACCCACAATAAGAAAAGAGCAAAGAAGGGAAAAAAAATCCAAAGATTTATTGAAAGCAATTCAAGGGGGAAAAAGGGGGTTGAGAGAAATCTGGCCGTGCTCCCTCTTTCCTGCTTGTCCAAACCCAAGGGAGAGCAGCGGGCAGAGATGGGAATGCTCATCTGTTTGCCTTCGAGGGAACACAGCTTTGGAGAACTGCTGGGGGTGACCCTGCCCACCAAGGCAGAGAGCCCCGAACTGTGAGCAAACCAATCCCCCCGCCCCCAAAACTGTACTCAGCTCTTTGTTCAGGTGTCTATGCATCTCTAGCAACTTTTAAACCAATACCAAAGACAGACAAAAGGCAAGTTCCGGTCCATGTTTACTTCAGTGCAGATGGTACGGCAGAGGTGGCTTTGGCGCTCTCCCTGGGGCAGGGGGTGCTGCCCCCCACGTGCCACGGTGCTTTTGCTGCACACAGAGACACAGACTATGGTGGCATCTCCTTGGCCCCAGCCCCTCTGGGACTTTGGGGGGGGGGGGGAGAACAGGGCCAGGGACTTTCTTGTAAAGAAAACAAACAATAGCAGAAGGGGTGTGGTGGGAAGGGGGGAGGGGTCCCCCCCCTGTGTGTGTACAGCAGACTCACTCATTGATACTGGTTTTTGGTTGTGGAGGGGTTATTTTCTTTTAAAGCCTTGTTACAGAGGTGGACGTAGTTGCACATTCTGGCCTGCTGAGGCCTATGCGACAGGTACCTGTGCGTGCCCATAGGAGGTAGGGAGGTCAGGCAAACCAGAGGGTAGAGTTTTTACTACTGTGAAGAAGACGGTAACTCCTGAGGTGACCTGTAACTTGTACAGTTGTGAACAACAATCACACATGGTACTTCGCGCTCTTGCTCTCTCTTTTTGTTTGCATGTGCTACCGTTTTTCTTATAAAAAATAGCTTGGTGGTACATTAGCTTCTTTATCTTGTAAAAAAACAATTGTCATTATTCATCCCATCACAATAAATGCTTTCCAGCAATCAGTTTAAATAAAAAAAGCACAAAGGGTCCTTGCTTTCCCCCTGCTCCGTGCCTAACTGCTAGCCGCTGCTGGGACAGATCTCCCACCTTGCAGTCACGCTAGGTCTGTGCTCCTGGGGACTCCAGCAGTTCTTTTGCATAAAACCGACTGCCCCTCAGGGTCAGGAGCTGGGGCATGTTTTGCTTCACCAGCCAGAGCTACTGCAACAAAGACTTTGGCACAGAGGAATGATGGGAGGGAGCGCACCCCCTAGTGAGGTTACAAGGCTCTGGTTCTGGCTCGGCAGGAGGTGAATGAAGAGCAGGTGTAGAGCTGGTCAAGAATGTATCCGTGTAGAAGTTTCTTGCCAAAAATAGGGTTTAGTTATTAAAAAAAAAAGGCAGGGGGACATTTGATTTTTGGCTGGGAAATGTCAAAAATCATTTTAAATTTTGACAAAACAGCACAAGGTAGGTTTGGCTGGGTTTTTATCCTCTCGGTCCAATCCAATGGCAGCCGGGGGGGGGGGGGTGTGTATGTGTGTGTGTCTCCACTTTAACTTTTATGAAGTTGGAAAAATGAGCATGTGAAAACCCCCGCGCCAAGGGCCTTTGTGCCAGGCTTGCAAGAAGGTGGAGGGGGAAATGACCCCTCAGTGTCTGCCACTAGTTTTTCACCAACAGTCCCTCAATCTCATCAGCTGTTCCTAATCTAAACCCTGCCCTAGGGAAGCAACCTTCCAATCGTTTCCTTCCATTTCTCAATCTGAAAGTTTCATGGTGATGCTCACGATGGGCAGCGCCATGCAATGGCTGGAGCACAGGGACCTGCAGGGGCTGGTTTCTAGCCCTGCCCGAGGCGCGTCACAGCCTTGCTGTGGGAGAGTTTGCCAGGAGTGTCTCAGAGGAGACGTGTAACAGGAACGTACTCGCTGTGTGTGCACAGACCAGCACGGGCCTCACTTCTGAACACCATGGAAGCAGCAGGGGAGCCCTCTCCTGCTAAGGCAGTACTGGAAACGTTTGAAAAAATCAACCACACTGCTCCAGACCTCAGAGATGTGACTTGGTCCTGGAGCCACACTTAGCATCTCAACACATTTTCCTGTCAAATCTGCCTGCTTCCCACCCCTGCTGCAGCTGCCAGCCCTGCAAACTAAACATGGGGTCTGGGATTCAAGCTGGCATCTCCTCCCTGGCAAAGGCAGCTCTGCAGGCTAAAGTCCTTCCCCCCGTGGGGGTGAGCTGAAGGATGCACCGGAGAGCCTGGAACTGGTTAACAGCAAGGTGGTTGGTGTGAGAGCCAGCCCAGTTTGCTCACTGAGACCTTGTGCCGGAGGGACAACATGAAAACCCTTCTCGGCACCGAGGTAAGCAGCACACCAGCAACGCTAGCTCTGCCAGCCTGTCTTCGGTGGGGCCTGGCCAGCAGCACCTCTGGATGCAGACGAGCAAAGGGGGCTCAGGGGGCGTAGCAGCCCGCCCCTGAGAGGACGCGTTCCACTGGGGCACACGGACCCGCCGACCGGGGCAGGCCCTTCCATTTCCTTCGTCTGCCAAGTCAGCGTGATCATCCCTGTTCACCCCCACAGCTCGTGTGCGCGGACACACCTCTGAGCTGCTTTTAATGACGGTGGGAAAAGTTTCCAAAGACCGGGCAGCTACAAAGACCCACCTGATAAGCACCCCGTGACCAGCCTGGCAGAGTGCCCAGCCCACTGGCGAATGGCCGCATGAGCAGAGGAACCTGTCCCTCCCGGGACTGAACCCTGCGTTATTTAAGGCACTGGAGTTTAATGAGGGCTTTTTATTACCTTTGCTGAGCAGTTGGACTGGTCCTGATGTGACCACACATTTCACTGCGTTCCCACAAACGTAACTCTGGTGGAAAAGGTCCAGGCAGCATCTCTGCTGCATCCAGGAGAAATTCTGCCCCGCTAGGGCTGCCCATCTCATGGGGCTCCTACCTCCTCCTTTGGGATCACTTGAGGCTTTCCCTTGGCCTACTTTGCATCACGACCAGCTTTGATTGTCAGCAAGGGCACAAGCTCGCCCTCCTAGGTGCAGAGCATTTGCAGAGTCTTTAGTCACCGGCTAGGTCGTCAAAGTAACTGTCATCAAGGTCCTCCACGATGTCCTCCTCCCCTTGGGCCAGCAGCTCAAGGTCGGCCGAGGACAGCCGCCCGGCATAGGCCAGCTGCTTCTGGGTCCCCTCCGAGGTGGAGGGCCCCTCCTCAGCTCCCCCTGCGGGCAGAAAGAGCAGAGAGGTGTAAATCCCATGCTACCAGGAGGGGGCAAGGCAGGCAGAGGAGGAGACCCATTGCTAATTAATCACAGACGCTAATTAACTTACCTACCGGTGCCGCTGCAGCTCCCAGGGAGCGCAGCGTTCGAAGCAGGGAGGGGAGAGGGAGCCGAGCAGAGCTCCTAAGAAACCCTGAGCCCTCTCCTCCCAGTTCCCATTAATCCAGTCACTTTTCCCTCTTGCTGATTTAGACTGGGGGTTGCAGGGCTTGGGAGCCACAGAGGTTCCTGACCCCAGGCTGAGCCCCTGGTCTCTTTGAAGGTATTCGTGAGCTCCATGCAAAGCAGAGCTGGTTTCCAAGGACTGTGCAGAACTGCCCAGTCCCCCCGTAAGGCAGGCTACATTCGGCTTCCTCCCACCACATCCACAGGGACCTCCGGAGCCAGGGCTGCTCGGTGCCTGGTTCCTGGGCTGTGCTGGCCACAGACACCAGCATACTGCAGAGCTGGAGGCCAGCTGGGTCTTATGCCCACTTCCTCCTCTCGAGAGCTCCCAGGGTGGGGAGAAGTCGTGCAACACGAGTCAGCGGCCGGGGTGCTGCCAGCAAAACCCACTGGCCTGGCAGGAGACGCTCCAGTCCCTGCAGGCCACGCTGGCCATTAATGCTCATTAGCACTTCTGGATGGTGCCTTGGAAACGCCAGCGCACCAGGGACACCAAAAGGCCTCCCCCAGGGGTCGTGTGAGCGCCAGATTTCTTCTCTCTCTGAACCCCTGGGGGGCTGAAGCCTGGATGGCCTTAAAGCAAGAGCTAAAGAGAAAAACCAAAAACAAAAGAGAAAGAGAAAAAACACAAGTGACCTCCCGGCCTCTCTCCACCCTCCGAGAGGGATAAACCTCAGCCAAAGCGATCGGCTGGACACAGCCAGGAACCAGGCAGCCCCGGGAGAGCCTAGCCCAGCAGGTACTGGAGGCTTTCCTAAACTGCCTTTCGCTGTTCATTTGCATGCGGCCCCGCTGGGGCCAGAACACGACCCTGCAGCGGGAGCCAGACCTGTCCATGCACTGTGCTCTGGGAGACAGGACAGCAGCATGAGGAGTCCTTTGGGGCACAGCACCATAGTATGGGGCCTCTGTCCCAGCCCAGCTCTTCCAAATGCTCCCGCAGCCCAAGGGGATGGGCCCCTAAGGCCTGGGGAAAGTTCCCTCTGGGACACTCTAGAGCACCTTGCCAGCCAGCTGGGGGGCCTCCCCGCTTCCCTTTCAGGCCAGCCGGGTGGGGCCAAGGGAAAGAGCACTCCTGGAGCAGACAGGAAAATGTTCCCAAGCATTTCTGCCTTCGCAGCATTGTCCCGTCGTGTATCTAATGCCTGGGATGTGTGTGCCAAGCCCCAGCCATCTGCCATGCCGAATCAGACCCATTCTGGGCAATGCTCTGGCTTAGACTCCCCCTAGCTAGCAAAAAAATCCAACCTGCCGGTCACAGGAGACCCTGCAGCCGCTTCCCACCAGAGCCCGTATCAACGGGGTTTGGGCATCGCGGTGCTGGCTCTTCCACTGCTCTGCAGCACTGAGATCGCGCTCCAGCCCCCACGCTCTCACAGACGGCAACAAACCGGGCTAAGGTGCCATCAGGCACGACAGGCCCTGGCAGGCTCGGCTCTGCTCTGCCAGCTGGGCAGCAGGAGTGACGGGTAACGCTGCCAGAAGAGAGCTGCTGAACATACGCCATGGGACCAGCGCCGACCAGGCTGCAGAGAGACGTGGGGCTCTGAGCCTGAGCAAGACAAGCGGCTGGCCATGCTTCAGGTTCTGGCTGCCCCCTGGGGACCTGGTTCCCGGTGGGCAACCTGGTTCTCTGTGTGCCCACAGGAGCACAGCTGGAATAAACTGCCCTCTCGCCTGCACATGTCCCCCTCCAGGCACCAGCTGCTAACGGAGAAGCACAATCGGGACACACGCTAGGGGTGATCCCGGCATTTCACCCTCCCCCCCACCCCCCGCCCCGGGAGAGAATCGGTGGCCAAGGGGTTAAGCAGAAAGGAAAAGCATCACCACGGCTCTGCTCAGGTGAAGTGTTAAGTGCTCGCTGCCCGGGCAGAGCCTGGAAGCCAGGCCCTGGTGGGGAGGGGGGGCTGTGCGAAGTTCATTTGAGCCTCTCTGCAGGTGGCCCCTGAAAGGAGATGAAAGGGACCAGCAGCCTGTTCATCCACCTGAGGCCTGAGCCTGAACTGCGGAGTGAGAACCCTTCCCATGCCCCCTGCCTGGAGCCGTGTGCCTCACACAAGGGGGCTCTTTGCCTTTCTCAGCGAGCTCCCAAAAACCAGGCTGGAGGACAGGCTTGAAACTTATAGACCTGTCCACATTTCCCTTTCCTTTCCCCTCGCGATCCCACACTCCTCCTCCCGAGCTGCTCACCCTCTGAGTCGCTTGCTTCCTCTTCCTCCTCGATTCCATACGCGCCCTCTTCGTCGTCATCCTCACTCATGTCCAACGACCCAGCTGGGCTCCCCGCGGATCCCTGCGCTTTCTTGGCCTTTGATTTTCCTGCAATTCATTTGTTTTTGGATTACACCAACATCCCGGCTGAGGCCCCTCGGGGCAGGGCATCAGTGCCGTGGGCACCCTCCCGTGAGGTGCCGGGGCAGACAGGGAAGTGACAGGGACAGTTCCACAGCCATGTGCCCACTGGCTAACAGCCAGATGGTATGATCGGCTGCACTGGAGAGGCCAGAGTGAGGAATCAGCACGCAGAGCTGAACTATATAGATTCCCACACAGCTGCAAGGGGAAGGGGCAGGGAGTTCATCTCTGGGGCCGGGAGTGACAGCGAAGGCCCAGGTGTGATTACTGCTAGGTATTCATGTAGCACACAGCGGCCTGCCACGGCTTGAGAGGCGGCCCCTGCCTGGCAGCCTCCAGGAGACAAGAGCAGTTGCCACAGCTCAGCTCCCGCTGGGGTTGGGGAGACAGGGAGGAACGCCCTGCAGGAAGAAATGGCCCAGACAGCAGTGGACGAGAGGGAGACAGCTGGGAAGCGCAAGGAGGTGCTAAACCCTGAAACAGCGTCCAATTCCCCTAAGCATCTGCAATCTGCGCGTCACCGGGAAGAGGGCGGGGGAGGAGAGAGACACGTGCCCCGCGAATGGGAAAAGCATCAGGGAGGCAAAGCCTAGGTCCTGGCATTGTTGTAGAGCCCCCAACACCAGCCACCAACCTCCCACTAAACCCAGCGATTTACTGCCCATTCCCATCCCCTCCGCCCCAGGCCGCTAGGGGAACCGTTTCTCCGCAAGCCATGGGACTCCACCTGGCAACCCCGCTGGGCACCGTTCCTCTTTCTGTGCTCGTGGACCCCCAGCGCCAGGCCGGTGCTACTCACTCAGCTGCATCCAGAGAAGTTGGTCGTGAGTGCCCCTCGCCGCCCCCTCCCCCTCGCTCCCCCTGAACTGAAATGGGGCTGCCTCCGGCCTCCATTCATTAGGCTCACTGGGTACCGAGACCATCCGACCAATGGCGCTCAACCTGTCCCCATGCAGCAAGCTCCCCCCGCGGGCAGGCCAGGCAGAAGATGGATAGCCACGGTACCTACCCCACGAGATAATATTGATGGGCACCTGAGAAGCCTATCTCTGCACACACAGGACCAGGTAGGAACAAAAGCTCACGCCCATTCATCACGGAGCGGGAGCAAAAGGAGCTGTCAGCGTGGGTTCACGGCACTGAGCGCTCATCTGATAGAGACCAGAGGAGCCAGCTCAGCTGCTGAGCCCAGCTGGGAGCAGAACTGGATACCAGGCCTTTGATTGATGTCCTCACTTCTCTGTGCCGGGCTCAGGGCCTGAAAGCAGCACTGACCAAAAACCCTTCCCCGCCAGCTCCTTTGCAACAAAAGAATTTCAGTCGTCTGGCTTATGTTCCCGCAGCCGTGCTGCCGGCACTCGATGCCTGTTCGCGTAAGTCTACACAGAGCTGGCAGCTCGAGGAGACAGACCCGGGCTACTCGGGCTCTCAGCCAGGGCTGCTGGCCTCACTCGCCCCCCCCACCCCCAGCTACATTTCTACATCTAGTGCACTAGCTCGACGGGTGTAGCCGGGGTATGTCCGCCCGAGCCGGAAGTTACAGCTCCAGGGGCAGATGGACCGTGAGAGCGACCTGTTTTACCACCGGTGTCTGGCTAGAGCTCACTCCTTCCATGGCACTCAACACCCCAACTTCCAGCCAACTTTTCAGTCATTCCTGGGGAGGGGGAGGGGGAGGGACTCAGCACAGGGCCGACCCAACTTGAAGACTGGGCTGGGTGATGACCTCACACCACAGCCCACGCCAGGGGTAGCACACAGCTCCCGGAGCAAGGCCCGAACCAAATTGTGATCAGTGGCCATCTGGTCCCTCTTGGGCCCTAGGGCAGGGAAATAATCAGTGCCCGTCCTGGAGGTACAGACAGTGCATGGGGGGAGCAGTGGCCGGGAGGCAGAAGGTGGAATCAAGGCTGAACCCAACTCCATGCAGTCAGAAGGGCGATCCGACGGCGAGGGGGAGTCCAGAGCCTCTTCTCCTTTGGGAAGCTGAGAGGGGCAGCCAACAGCAGACTAACCCTAAGCACCAGCGTAGTGCCCGGATGCTGCATGCCCGCATGTCCCTCTGCCAGCACAAAGCTTGCATAAGCCAGAGGAGCAGCGGTGCCGGGAGCCCTCTGCACACAGTTCCTCCTCCACCCCGCCTCCTCCAGGAGTCCCTGCTGACTCGACTTGGAGATACTTGCCTGACTTTTAATACAATTGGGTCGGAAAGCAGGCGCTGTGAAGTCTGCATTAGTCACTTTAATGATGAAGCTATTACTGGTGCAGGGGGAGGGGGGTGGAGCTCAGACAGGATGGGAAATCCGCCAGCGCTCCCGGGAGGTTGCAGCCATTCTAAAGCCTTGCCTGGCTTGGCTGCCAAACTAGCTGGTTGCAAAAGGCATGTGGTTAAACAAAAATGATCACCAGGCAAAGGCTGAGCAAGGTTCCAAAAGGGCCTGGTTGCTTAGCAGGGTGAAGACGACAGTGTGTGAATAGTTAATACACCCGCAGTTCGGGAACAGATCTTCAACCTCATACTTCAAGCCCATCTCTAGCTTTCAGAGACCACAATGAGACCTAATGGGGGGTGGAGGAAGCAGATTACCCCATAACTCCCTACTGCAGGACTCTTCCTCTGAAGCATCTCGTACTGGCCAGTGTCGGAGACAGGAGCCTGGACTAGCTGGACCATGGGTCTGACGCAGTATGACAATTCTCACGTTCCTAGCACCTGGAGTTGCTGGGGCCCCTTAGTCCAATGGAGCAGCTTAGTGCAAGGATCTGGTTCCTGGACGTGACACGCAACAGGAGCACAGGATATGTGCCGAGTTACACACACCACAGGGCAATCTATTGCACCACTAAGTTCTGTCTCTCACCAGGAGAGATCATCTGCGAGATCCTTTAGTGCCGGGGTGATGTGAAATGAAGAACAAACACAGAGTTAGGGGAAAAAAAAAAAACAAAAAACAAAAAACTGGCCTCAAACAAAGAAATTGAAGAAGATGTTCCACCCATTATCAAGGGATAAATCCCTCTGCAGCAGCTGGAGATAACTTTGCTTCTAACACACGTTTCTGATTAAGGGGCCAGAGATGCATTACGCATAACTTCATTTTAAAACAAGTCCGTGTCTGTCTCCGTACACGTCGCCTTTCCATAGCACTGCCCACCCCAGGATATCCGAGCCCTCTGAGCACACTAGTGAACTCAGCCTTTTGAGCCTTCTGGGAAGGCAGGGGAGTGCTACTACTCTCATTCTACAGATGGGGAAACTGAGGCACAAGGTGGGCAGTGGCCCAATTTATGCTGTACCCATCGCCATGGTGCCATGCCTCCTCCTTAGCCCATACTAATGTTGGGGGGGGCCAAAGAGCACCCAGCCCCTTGCAGGACTGGGCAAAAAGGGCCCAGCTTGCGTCGCTCACTGACTTTGGAGTTTTGGGTGCTCAATGCAGGTGGCCCTCAGGGAGATGGTCAAGGGCACATGGCAAGTGTTTGGAAGGGAGAGGTGGAGGACCCAGATCACCAGAGATCACCTGGATGGCTATAGTGAACCAGACGTGTTCTCCCAGGCACCTGTACCATCCCCAATTTGATAGCCAGACATGCCTGGGAAGAGGGGATTGCCAGAGCCAGGATTCCCTCCCAACACTCAGCAACCCAAACTCCTACCTTGGGTCTCACGCCCAGCACCTGGAGAAGCGATCAGGCAAAGAGAGAGCAGGGTGGCTGGGAGGAGAAGCAACTGATGCATGAGTTGGAGGAATAAAATCCACACTTCTGAGCCTGCAAGCCTGATGCAAATGCTTTTGCAGGAGACTGGCGCCAGGCAACCCTTGCAGTAAGATGTAAGCGGTGACACAGGACGGCCATCATGGCAGGTGATACATTGGGGTTTGAACCGGGGATCTCCGGCGCTAGAAGCGTACACCGCCACAGCTCTCTCGCTGCATCGCTACCAAACTAGTATCCCTTGCAGATCGGCACAGAGAGAGGACGTGTAACACGCTCACGGCTGGGGGAGACAGACCTCGGGCAGCCCCTTTCCACGCACCTAGATTATTGGCAGGCCCTTCGCAGGGCTCCCAGACATGCTTGCTAGCCCTGGACCTATTGCTTTCCCTGATCTGCCACAAAGCAGGGCCCCGTGGCCGGCTTCTTGTTGCCGGGGGGATGGGAATGCCCCCCACCCCCCAACGCACTCTGGAAACGCCGGCAGCTCTCCGATGGAGGTGTTAATCAGATGCACAATTGCATTCTGCTTCCCTGTGCCCCTTCTCCGGGTGCTCTCCCCTGCCTCCCTCACCCACCTGCTCCCAGGCTCTCCATGGCTGCAAGGCTCCTTTACCAGGGACCCCACGGTTGGGATTCTCCAACGGGACAGAGGGAGTCAAACCCCAGTGATGAATGGGAGCTGGTTGTCTCACCCCCTTAGACCATCCCAGAGACATGGTGTTAACAGAGGCCCTGATCCTGTGATTAGCTCCCCTGGGGTGGGGCTCGCACCCACACAGGGCCCCCAGGATCCCCACAGGGGTCTGCCCGAGCAGCACTCACTGCAGAATTGCGACCATTGCCTGTATCCGATACACAGCGTTCTTCTGGAACAGCGTCTCTTCGAGCAAAGTCAGAACAAAAACCAAAGAGAGAGAGAAAGAGATCGAAGCCAAGGGGGGATCAGGCAAGCAGCTTCGAGGAGGACATTTATGATAATCATCTATTGTTATTATATAATCTATTCCCCTGCCTCTACCTAGCAACACTTCGGGTGACTAATTACCCGATAAAAGGAATAACCCCTCTTCTTACCCCCCACCCCAGAGAAGAGACTGCCTATGGATTGCTTGGCTAATCCTGCATGCAGAGGTGCACGCCAGGAAATCTGCCAGCTAGAAGGGCCACGGTTATTCCTTTAGCAAATGAAAACATCTGGACCCCCTCCTCCCTTCCCCCCACCCCACACTGATGTAATATGCTTA